GGTGTTTGTTTCTTCTTATGCGTTGAAAATTACTAAAAAAATCTCTTCTTATGGTTAATTTGTAGCAGAGAGGTCACTTGATTCTGAAGCTCCTTCTCCAAAGTTGTTGAGAAGAGAACAAAATGGAGGATCTTTGGATATTCCTCAAGCTTTAGGGGAACTTGAATTCAAGAAGATGTTTTTGTTGCTTACCTATACTCAAGGGTATGTTTTGGTCTCCAAGCTTTCGACTTTTTTGTTTCCATCAGTCTGATCTGTTTCTTTAAAAGTGATTGTTTTTGGTGTTATACAGGAAATCCCTGGTTGGGGTTATAACTGCTGATGAGATCAGACAATGGAAGGATTTGCCAATGGCTGCTTACGAAACAGTAGTGTGGTTCCGGTTGGGCGAGCAATTTTGTTCCCTAAAGGAGCGAAGAGCGGTATGGAACTTCTCTGTTTTTGTACTTTCTAAAGTGAATTGACAAGAAATGGAGAGACACAAGTTGGATACTAATTGCTTCTTCTTGTTCTTTTACCTAGTCGCTTGAATGGGAGAGCGAGAAGACTCATTACTATCAATGTCATGTTGCTCTCGATGGTAGTTACAGATTCAAGGTTAATCAACTCTCCAAGCACTATCTTTCATGTTTGCATTTTTTCACTTGCATATGTTCTTTGTTTTAAGAAGATATGAATTCAAGAGATCTTCTAGGATAAAGTATTTTACAATGACGTAATGATAAACTTTTTTGACAGGGCCCTCTTATGGAGAACACTGGAACACACCTGCACAAGGTTTTGGGTGATGATAATGTTTTGACAGTCACATTCGCGGACGTTCCAGGCGTGTCAACTTATTGTAATGACCCTTACCCTACATACAAAGGAATTGCTAAGAATGGGATCATGGTTGGTTTACGCCGTTATCAATTTTTCGGTAGGTCTTTCTCGTTATTTCCTCACACTTTTCATTGTCAAGGTGTTAGTGTTATGTCTAGCAACATACATGGTAGATAATTGTCGTACTTCTGCTTGTTAACTTTTATTTGAAACAGTTTTCAAAGATGGAGGAAAAGAAGAAAAGATGAAAGATTTTTCTACAACGGGAGTCAAATGTTACTTTATACGCACAGACTCGACAGCTTTGATTGATATGCAAAACCCCTATATCTTCTCGGGAAAGTCAATTCATGAGGCACGTATGCATTTTATGCATGTGCATACATTGCAATCTCTGGCCAGCTATATGGCGAGGTACACTCTTGTTTTCTTCCAGCTCTCTATCGCAGGCTAATGAAGGTATTCTTCATTGTAATCAGAGTCACCTTTCTTTCTTTGTTGCTTCATCAGGTTCTCTTTGATTCTGTCAAAGACTATGAAACTTGAAGTTGACATGAGTGGGATTACAGTCGACCCAATCGATGATATACACTGCCATGTACTGTACTTCATTAATTGATGTGTTCTTTAGTAACTGTCTCTTTCTAAGTGGCCTTTACTTAGTTGTATTCGCTGTATGCTTTGACCTTGTTTCCCTCCTTTCCGATTGCAGGATCAGTATGGTAATGATGTTCTTGATAAGAATGGGAAACCTTGTATACATTCAGATGGAACTGGCTACATCTCTGAGGACCTTGCTCGGTTGTGTCCAACGGATATTTGTCAAGGGAAACGAATCAGAATTCAGGTTTTGTTTTACTTTCATGACAATTTGATGCTTCTTTAGTTGCCTTATGTTCACTCTTGTTCTTATATCATGGTTGTTTCTTATTTTTAAAATCACAGGAAACCTGTGGCAAAGACCCGGTATGTTGTTTACACTATTATGTTCTACACTATCACTTAACACAACTAGTAACAATTTTGTTTTTCAAACAGCCTCTTATGATCCAGTTTCGGATGTTTAAAGATGGTGATGCTATTAAAGGGACTTTTCTCGTGAACAAGAAAGTAAGTAGAATCTTTTTCATGTCAAAATGTCACGCTTGCAAGCTTTTCCTAATTTTGATCTTAATATGGCAGCTTCCACCTCGGACAGTCCAGGTTCGACCTTCTATGATCAAGGTGTCTAAAGATCTAAGTTTGTCAAATTTTAGCACCTTTAACTCCCTCGAGGTAGTCAATACAAGGTATCTATCTATGTCTTGGATTCTTGGTGTTTTGAAGCTGAACTTCTCGTTTTATTTGACGATCTCTGGTTGTTCCCATCTTCCAGTAATCCACCAAAGAGAACAACAAGGTTATCAAGAAATTTGATCGCGCTGCTTAGCTATGGAGGAGTCCCTAATGACTTCTTTTTGAATATATTGTGCAACACGTTGGAAGAGTCGAAAAACACATTCTACAACATACACGCTGCGCTTAAAGGTGCTTAGAACCCCAAGTCTTTCTGGTTCTTTTGTAAGGAAACTCTCAATGGGTCTTATAACAAAGTAAGTTTGTTTGTGCAGCTGCTCGTAATTATGGGGATATGGATGATTATAACGCTGCACAAATGCTAATGTCTGGTATACCCCTTGACGAACCACACTTGCAGGATCATCTGTCTATTCTTTTAAACACAGAGAAGAATGATCTCAAAGCAGGAAGACTTCCTGTTTCCGATTCATACTATCTCATGGGGACAATGGATCCTACCGGAAAGCTTAAGGAAAACGAAGTCTGCATCATCCTGTATGCTCTTGCTCTTTGGATATATGATTTTTTTCTCTAGATGTAGCTTTTAATTTCCTCGTTTGTTATTGCGGTTTTGTAGCGAGTCTGGTCAAATTTCGGGGGATGTGCTAGTTTATAGGAATCCCGGATTACATTTTGGAGACATACATGTACTTAAGGCTACATATGTTAAAGCCTTAGAAGACTATGTAGGAAATTCCAAGTATGGTGTGTTCTTCCCTCAGAAAGGTCCAAGATCTTTGGGCGACGAGATTGCAGGTGGTGACTTTGATGGCGATATGTATTTCATATCCAGAAATCCCAAGGTGCGCTGCTATATCCCTCGCATATGAAAGTCGATGCTTAGGGGCAGCTGCCGATAGCTGGCTAGCAATAATGGACCGTTACCTCGTGTTAGGAAACGAGAAAGTTAAGGAAAAAGATGGAAGTAAGAAGCAAATGCTAAAGGCTATTGATGTATACTATGATGCTCTTGATGCACCAAAAAAAGGGGCTAAGGTAGATCTCCCATTAGATCTAAAGCTCAAAAAATTTCCACATTCAATGATGCGGAAGCAATCATTCGAGTCGACTAGTATTCTTGGGTTAATCTATGACATTGTAGTATCGCAGAATGCAGAGGAACCCCCACCATCAGGTACGGATCTTCTTGTTACTATCCATAATTAGAGTGCATAAGAACTCGTTGAATATGTTTTATAACATCTTTAACTGTATGTTATAATTCAGGAATCAAGAAACTCCCATGTTTTGAAGATGAGCTGGTCTCTAAGTTTCACATGGAGAAATATAGACGCTGGTACGAGGAATATAGAGATGAAATGAAGCAGGCGATGGAAGCTGATGAGAATAATAAGAATGAATCAGCCAATAACGTCATCCAGAAATACAAGCAGGTAAGATCCTCAATCCAATGCGAAAATCTCTGACCAATAGACTTTCAAGAATCACTGATTCTGCAATCAACGAGAATCGTCGGCTGAACTGTTTCTTCTCTGTATTAGGAGTTCTATGGCGCTGCAGGGTTTGAAGAGAGAAAGATAAGCCTGGAAGAACTCTACCTGCAAGCCTTAGCACTTTACAACATTGTTTATGATCATGCCATCGTAAAGAACAAAGTTCGTAATTACGGGTTTGTCTGGAAGGTTGCAGGACCGGTCCTGTGCAGATTCTACCGAGAGAAGACAATGCGGGAGAAGTCACTCCTCTGTTCAGTTTCTGTGCTCAAAGAGCTTTTGGGTTGAATACACTTTTGGTAAAATAAGATGCCTTTGTTAGGCAAGTATGTTATCTAAGTAGTAACCTAACTTGTTGGTTAAGCTATGTGGTGTAGTGCCTTTGGTTTCAGTTCTTCTAATCTTAGATTTGTCCGCTAGTGTACAAATAGTTTCTGTGTCGTGTGTGTATTTGCTTGTGAAATAAATTTTTCAAAAAACCATGTTAAATGTTTTTGGTTTTATTACCTCAGAACTTAGTTTGAAACATTAAGACTCAATGCAGCTTACGACGCACTGGCAGGTAATAATCCCTTTCTTCATATCTTACCATTAGTAACAATTGCTGATAAAACACAAATCAAAATCTCTCTGGTTTTCATAATTTATGCTTATCCTCTTGTTTTCTCGATTTTTCATTTGTGGCTGATCATCATACATTGGGTTTGAAAGCTCAAAGCCTGAAGTTGTATACAAATTGTCTAATGAAATTGGCGAAATTTTTCTCTATTACATGCTCACAGTTTTTGTAATAACATCAAAAATCGTTCTGCTTAAATGGGTCTTATAAAAATCTAATGAGTCCAACTATTATTGGGCTTTATTATACCATACATGCGTGAGTTTTCGAATTTCAACGACAAAAAAGTGTCAGATGGCAAGGGTAATATCGTCATTTTACTAAGATTGGGTTTTCTTCTTCGCTTGATGCGATTTGCAACAGTGTGGAGGTCTTCTCAGAATTGTTTTTATCAACGGCTATTTTTCGAATTCGAAATTCATTAACGGGTACTTTTGCATCTATATAAATGTATACATGGGTTTGTTTGTTTGTTTGTTTCAAGAAAAACAAAATACAAAAAATAATTCTGCTTCATCTCTCTCTCTCTGCTTTCGTTTCTTCTCTTACAAAAGTCAGTCTCTGTGTTCCTTTCTTCTATTTCGATTGAGACTTTAGAAGAAATTCTTTATCCGACAAAGGTGGAAGCTTTTTGATCAAGCCAAACTCTTTCAGGTATGTTACAAACTTATAATCTTAGACTCGCGTTTCTTTTTCTCATAAGGTTTAAATCGATTGGCTTCGAGTTGATTTAGAAAGCGATGGTTTTGTAAAGAAAGTATGATGCTTTTTTTTGTCGGATGATTTAGGGTTTTTATAATTTGTCAGATTTTATGATTTTTATCAATTGACCCATGAAAAACCTCTAATCCGCATAAACAAAAAAATAACAAGAAGATGGGTTTATATTGTTTGTTTGTTTCATGTTATGAAATTTGTATTATGATTTTGTGAATAATTTGGATTATATGATTGTGTTTTGCTTTGAAAACAGAGGACAAGCCCAAATCATGTATGCCTTTTGCTCAAGCCATGACTTGTTTGTGCTGATCGACGAACCAAAACTGACAGGGTAAGTTTTAATCAATACTCTTGCACTTCAAAACCTCATCATTGTACAGAAACTGGATTATGATTTTGTGAATAATTAATTTGATTATTTAATGCTTTGAAAACAGAGAAAAAACTGGAGAGGCTTGATTGTAGTTGCCTTTGATCAATAATTAGAATCAATCATTAATAAGCATGCTTAATATTTCTTGCCTTGTGATTCAAGCAATTTAAGTTGATTCTCTGTATTTTTGTTTTGTTTTGTTTTGTAGATGTGATATGCGTAACAAGTCTTCTTCATCGGCACAAAGTTCCACTGTAATTATAATTTTCTATATATCTTTTCACGCTCTCGTTTTTTTTTTTTGAATAAGAAAATTTTTTTTCTTAATTAAAGAAATTTGAGTGTTGAGTTTACATAATTGTGAAAACATTTCGGAGGTGGACCTTGTCATTGACTTGTATTTGATCATTAGCGATTTCAAATTCGTCTAGTCGACACAATACAATGTAGGTTTAACATTCAAATTTTTTATATATTTTTTTACTAAGTATTTTTCAAATATTTTTTAGTTTTCGGATTTAATTATAAAACTTTGAGTGTTAGNCTTACATAATTGTGAAAACTTTTTGAATGTGGGATCTTGTCATTGACTTGTCTTTGATGGTTAGCGGTTCCAAATTCGTTTAGTCGACACAATACAATGTAGGTTTAACATTCAAATTTTTTATATATTTTCTACCAAGTATTTTTCAAATATTTTTTAGTTTTCGGATTTAATTATAAAAATTTGAGTGTTAGGCTTACATAATTGTGAAAACTTTTTGAATGTGGGATCTTGTCATTGACTTGTCTTTGATGGTTAGCGGTTCCAAATTCGTTTAGTCGACACAATACAATCTAGGTTTAGCACTCAAATTTTGATATATTTTCTACCAAGTATTTTTCATGTATTTCTAATTTTTAGATTTTAATTAAAGATATTTGAGTGTTAAGTTACATAATTGTGAAAAAATTTCGGAGGTGAGGTTTTGCATTTACTTGTCTTTGATGGTTAGCGGTTCCAAATTCCTTTAGTCGACACAATACATTTAGCACTCAATTTTTTTTATATTTTTTTAACTAAGTGTTTTTTTTTAATCTCGGATTTTAAGTAGTTTTGAAAATTGTACGAAAATGAGATATGTAAATTTTAAGTAGTTTTTTTATATGTTCTCTTTGTTTTTGATTCAAGTAATTTATTTTGGTGTATTGATTTTTCAGTTATTATACAATTTTTTAATTAAGTTGGCGAAACTTTCTCTATTTCTTACAATTTCAAGATATCTTTGCTTGAATCAGCGCTCTGCTTATAATAAAATTGAACCTTTTGCATGGGCTCGTTAGTCTTTAGAGGGTCCCTTTTGTG